CTCTATACATTTCCTAAGGCACTGACAAGGAGCATCTGATTAAAAATCAAGGACTTCTTTTGTTGGTGATCATTTTCTCTATTATTGTGAGATATTGCTTGATTCAGGGGTGATATTGTAAGGAGAAATTAGATGCTAGTCACTCTTAGGGATCCAAGGGTTAAAAGGAGAACATTTTTAACCTGAACGATCTAGAGCTTTGGGATGCATTTAGTGGTAATTGTAATTTTTTATTTTCATCCTATCAGGAGCTGGCTTGTATTGTGTATTTATACCCGAGTATGAAGGAGATCATTGCTTTGTTCCAGTAAGTTCATGTTTTGCAACTTATAATTATCTAAACAGAGTAGGAAAGATTGCAAGTTTCAAGCTCTGTAAAGAAATAGAGAAAGAAAAAACATCTTCATCTTACTTATTTGAAAGAAAAACAACTGTAGGCCTATTCTACAATGATAAGAAAATGGAGTGATGATGATGATGATAAAAACAACATAAGAACAGATAAAGGATTTGATATATTAAAGTTCACAAGGCAATCAGGCGAACAATCTGATGTGGTTTGATGCTACTCTGGTTCAAAGATCTAATGAATGTAACTGAGAAGTTACAATTCATAGATCTGAAGGAGTGTCAGTAAATTGGGTGTATGAATTGTAACTTCGAGGTTACTTTCATTAAATTTTTAAACAAGGGTAGTGTCAAACCATAACAGATAAAGGAATTTCCAGTAAGGAGACCTACACTAGCTTTCCATCAGAAGTTAAGGACATCTTATGATGTTCACTGTTACAAAAAAACTTAAAAGTTACCAAGTAGTCGTAAATGAACCCTTCACATCATCTGTCCCTCTCCACAGCTACATCATTCATTTCCTTGAGCTAGTAGGGAGCTTAACCCTTTCACTCCCAAGATCTCACTAGTAATTCTCCTTACCGACTGTTGTACAATTTTTATGATTTTAGTTCTGAGAGTTTGTAACTGAATCAACTGATAATCCCCTAATTGATATTTCTCCTTATTCTTATTGCCTGCTTGAAATCATATGGATATTGTAGGGAGAAACTCTGTCTTGGTCTATGAATTGTAACTTCTAGGTTACTTTCATCAAATCTTTAAACCAGAGTAGTGTCAAACCATTTCAGATAAAAGATTTTTCAATAAGGAGACCTACACCAGCTTTTCACCAGAAGTTAAGGACGTGTTATGATGTTCACTGTTGAAAAAAAAAAGAAATAAAAAAGTTAAGTAATTACCAGTATTCTTATATCATACCAAGAAGTGGAACATCAAACCCCTAAGATCCTCTCTCCCTCTCCAAAGCTGCATCATTCATTTCCTTGAGCTAGTAGGGAGCTTAAGTATCACATATATGACAAACATCAAAGGGCTAAAGTGAGCATCTTGCTGTCTACTGAAGCATTTTTTAATCCAAAATTGAAATATTTGCATAAACTGTAAATAAGAGATTTTTTCTATTTTTATGCAGCATTGATATGGAAACCTGGTAGAACTAGAATCCTCTTTTTTTCCTGCAATCTGCTGGTAGATATGTTCCGCTTAAACTCACCAATGTTAATCTCCACATCACAGCTGTGTGCTTACAAGTTGACACATACATATAACTCTTGAGTATTTCATTTTTTAGATACGTGAATGGGTACAGAAACAGAAAGGAAAATTTTTGAAAATCCGTCCTGAGGATGAGGAATATGTTAAACAGCGGACAGCGGAGATGGCAGAAAAAGTTGCCATGGCAGCAAAACAAACAAGTGGGGAAGCAGGGGGGAATATTGGAAAGTCGTGAGTAAAGAAACTATCCAACGGAAATGTAATTGATCATTAGAAAGTGAACACACTAAAGAGACCTGCAGTATTTAATGGGAAAATGATGCCTCTGGCTTTCAAGTGAATTTGCACAGATTTGAGGACAGATTTTTATGGACAGAGTACCAGAAGTTACATGTAAAGGACACAGCAGAACTACGAGTTGAAGTATCTTACTCGGGCCAGTTGACTTTAGAATGAACAGATGCCAGCTTTAAAAAATAAACAGAGCTCATTCCAGAGTATTTCTCTCATAAAAATCATTTACCTATTAACCCCAAAGGGTGACTAGCATCTAATTTCTCCTTACAATAATACTGCTGAATTATTCCTCCAAGTTCATGAGAATGATGGGAATGATTACTAATATAAGGAGCTTTGATTGTTAAACAAATTCTCCTTGTCAGCACTATAGGAAATGTATAGAGAGGAGTATGGAGGGTGTGGATTTCAATTTTTGAGTGTAAAGGTGAAAAAGAGCAGGTTTGCTACTTAATTGGCTGAACACATAATCGATTATCAACCTACAGAAAAAACCTTTGGTGATTTGGTGATCATAGATTACTTATTTACTATGGTAAATTCTCTTTTTTTATTATTATTTTTAAGTCATAAATATTAAAAGGTGTGATACTATTTCTCTAAAAATGCAATCAACACTCACCACAGAGTGTACTCACCAAAGCATTGAAAGTTGAAAAATTGCTATTTTGGGTGGTAAAGTAATTGCGCTGAAATTTATTCTCGAACAAAATAGAAGTTGGTATACCTTCTGTGCTTTGTATTGATTTGGTGGATTAAAAGAGGGTGGTTTGTTGTGTCTGAGCCCGTAATTTACACCGAGTTTGTCACTAAGGAGAGGAAATTGACCATCTGTTTTTGACGTTTTTTCTTTATAATCGCTTTTAACGTCATCCCAAACTTGGCCAGAGCGAACAATTTCTCTTTTGAAAAACGATATGCTCAGAATTAAGTGTGATGAGGAACGTGTAGTTTATTTTAAGGTGAAGTAAACCATAAATTTGTCGAAATTTGCGCGGCGCTCGAATAAATTTTTAACGTTTCTTTTCACAGATAGTTTTTGAGCATATTGCTCTTCAAGGACAATGTGGGCGATGGAGCCGCAAAAAGCGGCATAAGACAGTCAAAACAAAGAAAACATAAACGACTCTAATGGGTTTACTGTGCTACAAACATAGTTGGCTTACTTTCCCGGCTCTCGAAATAGACAAGATATTCTTGTTTTTTATAAAGAGATATTTTTGCTGTACAATAATTCCTTCATTTGTTCTTTTTTTTTTTCGTTTCTGTGACTTCGTCTCGGTGACCTCTCGTTTGGTCAATAACGCATATTTTTATGACACGTACATCGAAATGGTGCCAAGAAAGAGTACGTGTCACGTTATTGATGTTGTGGGTGCGAAGACAAGATGGCCGAAATCACATGAAAAAGATTTCTGTTAGTTTTCAACGCAAACAGCCGAAAAACTTTTTCACTTCTTGGCCACATACGTACCACAAATGAAAAACATCGCAATCATAGAAACTTTAAGAGGTCATTCTAATTTCCACATCGTTGAAATCAACATTCATTGCCTCAAGACCGAACACTTGTAGACCCTTAGAGTAATACAGTAAAGTTCCACTCATTACGATAATTAAATCATTGTCATGCCACCAAAATTGGTGTTATTCAAAACTAAGTGAGTGATTATCGCTTTCGAGTTAATTCCATTTTGTTTACCGAGGTTATTAGGTAAACAGAGAACACAAGTTCGAAATTAAAAAAGAGGCAGAAGCTTTTGGTAGAAAATACAAAAATCTAATACCCTCTAATATCTCAGTAGTGAAATTCATTGAATAACGGCCATTTTAGACATTTAGCTGGTAATTGATATCATTTTTCCAGAATGCGTGAATATTTTGATGAAAAAAAATAACGGCCGCTGAAGTTTAAGTTAAGTTATTGCGCACGAGATTACGGAGGTTTCATTTCGTTGTCAAGTTTGCCCCAAACTTTTTCAGCACACCTTTACTAAATAATTTACCTTTCTTCTACAAACTCGGAAAACGGGTTGTTAGAACCCGAGTCACTAGACCACACATCCCTCTTGTTTAAGATACGCTTGCTCACTGAAATGGAACATACCCCTTCCGAGTTCAAATCTTAAACAAGACTGTTAGGGCAAACCACTCAGTCAATAATTTGTTCAACATTGCACTATCCGAATATTCCTTTAAATCACCATGGAACGCATGCTGAATCGGCTGTTACCCTATGCCACCGTGAGTCTACGCCTCAAAACATCGTCCTGTTTACTCCGATAAAATAAAAAAGATAAAAAGCAGATCAAGGAGCAATTAGGGATCCTAGTTTACGAAGGAAATTGTACATCGCGACAATATATTAATGAAGCGAGGAACCGAAAGAACCGTAAATATCTTGTCAACAAAACCAATATTGATATCCAAATGAGTTCAAAGTTATTATGGTTAAAGCTGTATCGGTTATTATAAATGAGGCCCTATGCTCATCTTCGCCGGGACAAGTATGAAGCGATCGCGAATCAGGACAATGCCGACAGGACTGGCTACGAACCCTAATAATTCCGGCTGACATAACTGATTTGCTAATTATTCTGGGAATAGAAACGTTATCCTTTATGATGCTCGTCCAACCCAAAGGAAAAAACTGGTTCCCACTGAGATCTTTGGGTGTTTTTCAAAGAACATTCCGAAAAGGTGTTTTTAAAGTGACCTTCTACAACACTTTTGTGTTCAGACATGTTGGTGTTGTTTCATAGTAGAGCGAGCGCGTCAGTTTGTTCAAAGTGACAGAAACATAGGAGTATCCTGAATTCATTTTGCATTGGCATGTTCAAATAAAGCAAACAATGAGGAGTAATATTTAGTTTAGGACTTCTAGTATCAACGTACATATACTGCTATCTAATTTATGAGACGGTTAGCCTGGTTCATGCAGGATTACAATTTGACTACTGGTAACAAACATACTTACGTGAACTCAATATCTATCAGAGCGGTTCCAAGATATGTCAGAAAATAAAGGCAGAAGAAATATCAACAATAAAATCAAAATCAAATAGCTTTATTTCCTGTCAATTCTATGTGCGCTTTGATGACAACTTAAAGACTTCCCTTACGGACGAGAAAATTCAAGTTGGTTTCCTTTAATGCAATGCACAGAAACTGATGTCAATAAAGGGTATCAACTCATCCATGAGTTCTATATTCCCGTTTGTCTTCAACAAGAAACAGTCGATCGGAGAAAAGCACCCAGTGTTGGACTGAACACTCATTTTCAAAAGGTGAGCCATTGTAAGTAATTCATGAAGTCCTCTTGATCAATAACTTTATGGACTGGAACAAGGACTTGGGACAAAAGAAATCGATTCCCTTGATGGTTAAATTAAAAACTGAGCACGCCGTAAACATAGAATACTTAAAGAGTAACATGCTCTTGATTTTCTTCGCTGCGATCGATGGGGATCGATTCCGGCTTCATCCAAATGCATTTTTTTATTTTTTATGTCTTACTGTTTTTTTATTTTGATTCCTTCAGATCAAAAACAAATGACCATGTTTTTCAAGTTCGTTGCGGTTGTTTTGTTAGCCGCCCTGTTCATCGACGAAGCTTCAGCGAATTCCTGTCCTCGTTGGGTGAAGCTTAACAAGAGTCCAGTCTGTTTCGGCGCTCGAAGTAACCAATATGGTCGTTTTACCTACCCTCGGAACATCTTTGTCAGCTCGTTCATGCTTGTGCATCGTACAGGATCAGTTTCGTGTAATAAAAAACAATACAGCTACTGGGGATGTAGTCCTAATAACCCAGGTCTAAATGTCGTCTTAACGAATCATCAAAACAAGTTATTGGCCCCAGCTGTTACCAATCGTGGAGGATGGTACAATCTGGGAGGTTACACCTCCTCGTCTTCTGCCCTCGTGTTCTGTGCTCCTAAGAAGCCCCACTGTATCTTCGCCAATACCGAGCTGCGCCTGTGGTACGGAGAAGATTTACGTGGCAGTACAGAGGGCGACAACGGCGGCCGAACATGCGCAGATGTGTATGGTCTGTTGGTCTAAACTGTTCGTAACAAGAAACTTCGACCATTAGACTGAATAGATCAGTAGTTGCTAAAAAATATTTTTCTTTGTACTTAGCTATCGGAATGAAGAAAAATAAAATCATCGGAGTTGAGGAGACTGGTATTTGTTTTATGACTATAAAAGCCTATTCATTAAAAAAAACTATAAACTTAGAGGCGGAGTGCTTCCAGTTCTGCACAGTTTCGCTTAAAACTTTCAGAGAAAGTCCAAATCAGTGAAGCTTTGTATCATATGACCATTCATAAGTGTGATCCAATAAAAAAAAGAAAATATTTACAAGCATAAATTTAGTCAGCAAAACTGACCTAATCTTGCCACATTTATTTAACAATTGGATCGGAATATCTTCGAAACAAAGTCGACCCCAAATATTGGTGACAATCTGCAAATAATACGTATCCTCGTTCAGGACAAGTTTTTGAGCTGTGAAATTAATGAAAGGAAAAATCAAAAGGCAAGTTTTGACAGAGAAGCATCAATGATTTGTAGAATTTTTACGTTGAGATACAGTCGAACCCTGATGTCTCACTCCTTCTAATATTTGTTTATGGACTTATTTGATTACGCGGGTCTCCATCATTGGAGACTCATTCTTTTGTTTTGGTGTCTTATTGCAACTAGGATTTTACAAGGTTAAGATGTCTATGCAAATATGCCTGTTTATCGCTGACTGAGTGGTAAAACAGTGAACCAAACAAGCCGGTAAGTCCCTTATTTTTTAGAAGCGTAAAAAGCCCAGATTTTGGTAAAGCTCAAAACAGAGTAGTGAATCAAAAGAAAACCCGTACTGTTCTAAAAATTAAGAGTTTTCCTTTTCCATATTTTTGTTTTCTTTAACATAATTCTATGAGCTTTTCAATTTTCTTTCACCCATTTTGCGAGAGCAGTTGTTTTATCTGTTTTTCTGCGCGGGAAATTGGCGCGCGGGCGGCCAAATTTGATCCCCTCGCGCATCCTTAGAGGTTGAGTAGCAGCTCTTGCCTTAATATTTGGGTATGGGATTGCAGGATCATATAAACTATCTCCACTCTTCTCTGACCTCGAATCACTTTATTATCTCTATTTTGACAACTTGTTATAAATAGACAGTCTTTCTCTATCAGTTATCATCTCGTTCAGTCTAATGTTCGAGGTTTGTTGATCGCAGTTTAGACCAGCAGACCATAAACATCTGCGCAAGTTTTGCCACCGTTGTCGCTCTCTGTGTAGCCACGTAAATCTTCACCGTACCACAGGCGAAGCTGGGTGTTGGCGTGGATACAGTGGGGCTTCTTGGCAGCACAGAACACGAGAGCAGAAGATGAGGAGGTGTAACCTGACAGATTGTACCATCCACCATGATTGGTAGCAGCTGGGGCCAATAACTTGTTTTGATTATCTGTTAAGACGACATTTATACTTGCGTGATTTGGATAACATCCCCAGTAACTATAATGTCTTTTATTACACGTCACTGTTCCAGAACGATGAACGAGCATGAACGAGCTTACGAGGATGTTCTGAGAGTAAGCAAACGCGCCGAACTGACTGTCTCGGGCTCCGAAGCAGACTGGACTCTTGTTTAGCTTCACCCAGCGAGGACAGGAATTTGCTGAAGCTTCGCTGATGAACGCTGTGGCTAGCATGGTGATTAGAGCGAACTTAAAAAGCATGGTGACTTGGATTGATCTGAAGAAGAAGGAAAACAGACAACTGTACACATAGTTAGTAGAAACAGAGTCACTTTGGAGTTTGCATAAATCTTTGTTGGTGTTTTATGGACAGCAGAGTTAACTTTCTTCTTGCAAAGTTAATCCTTTGTAGCTTTTGTTCATAGGAAGAAGAGAAGAAGAGAAACTTAAAGTGTCCTAATAATGTTGTTGAATAATTCTCATAGCTGTCTGACCACAGAGGCTTTCTTCATGTCCTGTTCATATTTTGATTTTGTTAATGTTTGATATGCGAAAAAAATCATCATATTTTTCATGAACAGTTCACAAGAATCTGCTTCACAACGAATGAACTCTTAATTACGTTTCCAAGGTGTTGCTTAGCAAACTGACTGGAACATAACCTTGTCCCCATAGTTTTTACTCTCCCCGGGTCTCTCGCAAAGTTGACTAGAAGACACACGTAAAGTTGACCTATTCAGATTGGTAAAGGACTTCGTGCTTTTTCACTTGTGCAAATCTGTATGGTTTGCTTCACGTTGCCACAAATTTTTCTTTAGCACCTGATATTCCATTTCTAGTTTTTTTTGTTAATTTCGTATTATATTTGTCTCAATACTCTTCTGTTTCGAGCTTTTTTACTTTAACAAATGCCCCAGCTGGAAAATTGAAGTGGGACGAGAAATTTTTTTACATTATTATGATTCACGGGATTAATTTTGCCACAAATTCTCCTTAATTTTCTAGTCTTCTAAACAAATGTGGTCGGATATGGTCAGTATTGGTTTTAATTTCATGGATGTAGATGTAGATGTAAAATATATGACTTGTAGAGGGCCACTTTGTTGCGAAACAAAAGTTTACAGTTTATAGTCTCTTGTTACGAAAGTATGTAGGAAGCGAAAGATCTTAGTCGATTAAATTTGAAGCATCAATGGTGGAAGATCTTGCGCAGCCCACAAAGGGGAAATCGGGGCCACTTTTACGAGGGAAATAAACCGCAGTTTATTTAAGGCGCGAACTGAATCACTTTTATGAATATGACATAAAAATAAGCCGCGAGACGCTCGTTTAAATGGTTCGTTCATATGTCTCATGCAGTTGTACGAGCGTTCGGGAGCGCGGTAAATCGCACAAGCGCCGGCGGGAAAAAATTGATTTTACGCTCTAATTTCGCTGCTCGAAAATCCGATTTCGATGGGAATGTGTAATTTTTGGAGATTGTCACCAATTTTTGGGTCAACTTTGTGACATAAATATTCTTTTCTTTTTAAACAAATTTGATAAGATTTGATCAGTTCTGCGAACTAAATTCACCTTTCCAGAGATTTCCTCTTAGATCATACGACTAGAGCATAAGTTCGCTGATTCCGTCTTTGGCTGAACTTTTAAATGAAACTGAAAGCATTGAGCCTCTAATCAGCGGGGTTTTATGGTTAGAAAACAAATACCAGTCTCCTCACATCGAATAATTTTATTTCCCTTATCAGTTGTAATCATGTAGTACAAAGATAACATTTTTCAGCATTTACTGATATATTCATTCTAAAGTTCGAGGTTTTTTAGATCACTGATTAGGCCAACACATCATACACATCTGCGCAAGTTTTTCCGCCCTTGTCGTTCTCTATGAAACCACGTAAATCTTCTCCGTACCAGAGGCGGAACTCGGTGTTGGCGAAGTACAGTGGGGCTTCTGGGGAGCACAGAACACGAGGGCAGAAGACGAAGAAGTGTAACCTGCCAGTATTCTGATTTGATGATCTGTGAGGATGACAACAAGTCCATGGTGATTTGGAAAACAACCCCAGTAGCTGTATTGTTTTTTATTACAAGTCACCGATCCTGTACGGTGCACGAACAGGAAGGAGCTCACGAAGATGTTCCGAGGGTAGGTAAAACGACCATACTGGTTACTTCGAGCCCCGAAACAGACTGGACTCTTTAAGCTTCACCAAACGAGGACAGGTGTTCGCTGAAGCTTCGTCGATGAACAGGATGGCTATCAAGACAACCACAACGGACTTGAAGATCATGGTCATGTTTGATCTGAAGATAATAATGAAAAGGTAAGATATGAAAAAAGCGATGCTTTCAGTTGAGGCCGCGATCGATCCGAGTCGATCACGGCGAAGTAAAACAAGGTCATAGTACTTTTGAGTATTCTGTTTTAACGGCGCGGTTTTGAATTTTATCACCTGATACATCAAATACTTTTGTCCCAAGCAGTTGTTCCAAACCATAAAGTTATTGATCAAGAGGATTTCGTGGATAACAATTACTTACTTTCTAAAAATGAGTGTTTAATTCAACACTATGTTCTTTTCTTCGATCGACTGTTTCTTGTGGAAGACAACCGGGAATATGGAACTCATGGACGAGTTGATACCCTTTATTGACATCCATTTCTGTGCATTGCATCAAAGGTAACCAACTCGAATTTTCTTGTTGTATAGCGATGTCTGTAAGCTGTCGTGAATGTGTTCATAGAAATGACGCGACATTAAGCGATTTTTTTTGATGTTAATATTTTTTCCCCTTAATTTTCTGATAGATCTGGAAACTCTGACAGACAATGACGATGACTCCCTGGCTCTTGGAAGGTAAAGTACAAATTCTGAGTATTTCCAATTTCTCTAAAGTAGGTCACCTGAGATCAAATTGTAACCCTGAGTACCAACCGTTTCATCAGTTAGAACGTTGATACTGAAAGACATTAATTATACATTTACTCCTTATTGTTGTCTTCATTTGATCATACCAATGCAAAATGAGTTCAGAATACTTATACGCATCTGTTGCCTTGAACGAACTTACTTCCTCGCACTGATGAAACAACACCAACGCGTTTGAAGATAAACGTCAGTTTGAAAACACCCATGCTGAATTTCGTTCGAAAAACAATAAAAGATCTCAGTGGTAACCAGTTTTCTATTTTGTATTAGATCGGCATAGTAAGACTAACACTTCTTTTCCAAGAGTAATTATGATAAGTCTGAATTTACGAGTAACAAATTATTTATGTCAGGCGGAACTGTTAGGGTTCGTAGCCAGTCCAGTTTGCATTACTTGTAGAAGATAAATACAGGGTCTCAGTTACGAAAACTAACACCTACGCTGTAAACTGTAATTACTTTTAACTTATTTCCGTGTCCAAGAGTTTCGATGTTGAAATATTTTGTACTCTCGGTTCCTCGCTTTATCAGTTTTTTGTCACAAGATATAATATTCTTCGTGAACTGATATCGCTAATTACTCCTCGAGATTCTTTTTATATTTTTTCTTTTCTTAGGGAATACAGGACTACTTGACATGGAATAGACTTACGGCGGCTAAGAGAATATAAACTATTTGTACTCTCTTGCGGTGGCTTGATATTTGAAGCAAATAGGGAACAGTTAAGACGCAGTCTCTCTCAAAGCGATTCGGTGTATTTCGGTTTAAAAAATCGATTTCTTTCAAACTTTGCCCATGAATCTGACTTAGTAGCTCTTAGTTTAGCCCAGTTTCCATGTTCCAGATGGAGCTCAATATGGCTGTGAGCCGTAATTTCCCACGCAAAATAAATTACAATCTCATGATTGGAAACCCTAACCAAGTTTACATGCAAAATTTAAGCGAAATCGGTGAACCTACCTGTTTGACCTGCTCCTACATTTACGGACTACCACTCTCAACAGCCGGTTTAATATGCCTTGCACGGTATCTCAGGGAATTATTTACGACAGTGCGATGTTGTACACATTATTGACTTAGTAGCTCGTAGCAGTCTTGAACCCCGAAAAGGTATATTGCATTTCACTGTAGAAGCGCCTCTTGAACAAAAGGGATGCGGTTTTCTGGTGACTTAAGGGCTTGCTTCCCTTTTACAAGTTTATACAGATAGGTTTTTTTATTATTATTATTATTTAGACATGTTTTTCTTTTTTTTTTTCCCCAAAAGTACGAAGCCTTAACGAGAGGATTATAATATTGCAAATAAAATTCAATTTACTCATGCTCACACACCAACAGACACACAAACTACACACACAAATTGTAATGACGATGAATTTAACTTACAAAGCTAGGGATATATTATTTAAACAAAGCATAGCTGACATCGTAATTTATAGTTACAGATTCAACACCATACGATAAAAAAATTCAGCTTCCTCGATCGCTTCTCGATGACCATGTTTCACCTAGAATATTAGCAGCAGATGTAAAGAGGACGTTTCGTTGAGCGGCATACCTTAGACAATTCAAGAAAAAAAATTCACCCATTCGGAGTCAAGATCGCACTCGCAAATAGGCGATGCACAACTATTTATTTTAAAACGGAGATATTCTCGAAGACAAGAAAACACAAGGCTAAGGCGAGTGTGATCAACAGATGCACGCCTTGTAAAAAAAGATCATATGACTTATTGTGAATATGCGGTACGAGAATTGACCGTGTTTTAGAAGGGTGGAAGAAATTTATTTAGTTAGGTTGTATAGGAAACGTTTAGGGCAAACTTGTCTGAGAACCTTCTACATAAACGGCGAAACATCCGTAATCTCCCGAGCCGCAATTTTTTTGTTCCGGTCAAAATATCCACGCATTTTGAAAAAAAACAAGTTTAAAATGGACTAATATAGGTGGTATCAATGGATTTAAATACTGAAAGTTCAGAAGGAAAGTTTTTCTGTATTTTTAGTCTATATCTTTTGAATTTTTTTTAAATTTGAATGTGTCCCTTCAAGACGTTATAATCTTGTTTAACGATAGTAAATCAATTCTGATGCGATTATCCTTCCTTAATCCCGAATGATACTAACTTTGATGCATGATTCAAATATTTCAATGTGTGAAATTTCAATGTGTGAAACTTCAATGTATTTTTCTGCCGGTCTACACGCACTTGGTCTTAGGGAATTGTTGATTTTAACGTTTGTTAAAATTAGAATGACCTCTCTTAGTTTCAAAAATTGTTATTTTTATTATTTGTGACGCGTGCTTGGCTAAGAAATAAAAACATTTTTTTGGTTATTTGTGTCGAAAACGAAAGAAAATTTTTTTCATGTGTTTTCGGTTCGTCTTGTCTTCGCAGTCAAAACATCTGGTGACACGTTCCTCTACATTGGCGTGCATTTCGGTGTACGTGTCATAATATCAAAGCTAAAAACCAAAGTTATCACAACAGCCAATCAAAACACAGGAAAAGATTATAAGAGCCAATGAAAACTCAAACTGAAAGCCGCTAAGCCACAAGGAGTGCGGGAAAACGCGAGTGACCCAGCCGCGATTGGTCAAGGTTTGAAGCGGCGCGAGTTCTCTCAAAGCGAAGTAAAGCAAAGTCTATGGTCTGTGGTCGCAAGCCTTATTGGTCTTCAGGGAGGTTAGCTGTTTGGTGACACCAATAACGGTGATTATAAGAGGACTTCTGCTAGACTTTGGCTCGTTCCCGACGCTCTGAGGATCTGAGTCAGTTTAATTGCTGAAAACAGAAGATAATTTTTTGTTCAAAATTCCGCTTTGGTCGCTCCATTGCTGAATATTTGCCTTCGATCACGAGGTCAGCTACGCCTGGGTCTTCAGGCTTCAGCTGTTTCACATGGGACCAGAAACGCTTGCTCGAAAAAGGTTCAGGCCATCGTCTTCGTTGTCCGCTTTTAAAACATGTTTATGTCACCCTTCAGTTACGTCATTCTTTATTGGTGCAACCCCTCCTAAGAAAAACCTAGATCTGCCCCTGTTATTGTTTTTCAGCATTTTGAACTGAAGATTATGAGAGGGTTTATCTTTTGAACACATTTACGCACTTACAGTTCAACATCTTGCGCTAAAAGATTGTCACTTCTGTGTTCATTTATTTGACATTTACCTTAAAGAACACGTGATATTATACGCAATAAAGATCTCCGAAATAACTCGACGGTACAACTATTAATGGATGATAAATAGCGTACGTTAGTCGTTCAAAGCTATTGAGCGGTGACTGGTATTATAAAAAACTTAGCTTTTTCTAGGTTTATTTTTGGTTACGAAGTGTCTAGACAGCCAGTTTGCACTCTATTCCCCTAAAGTTTTATGTTACAATGTAATACATAAAGCATTTCACCAAGAGAAAAATTTTTCATCTTGATTTGCCGTCCATCCAATAATTTAGTCCCATCTTGCAAGTGATTGTATTGTGTTTTCAAGCTTTTTCCAGAGTTATTTATTCTTGTAATATTTTCCTCCACTGAACTTGCATTTATTGATTTTGGTGTAGAATTATCTTTTTCTTAGTTGTTTTCCTGTTACAAACTGAAATCTGATTTTTATTATTCTCTGCATTCGCATTCTAGCTTGATAGACAATCGTTTCAACCAAACTTGTACCCGTTTCTATTCAGAAAAAAAATGCTTGTTTTCAAACATTAATCATTATGTATGAACTAGCAATCTTCCTACTTGAATGAAAAACCTTTTGAAATGCAATGAGCTTTTTTGTGTGTGACCATCTTGAGCACGTTGTCCTTCTTTGACAAAATCCTTTTGAAATTTAAGGCTCAATTTATCTTCTTTGTTGTGCGTAGCCCACATGAATAGATGTGTTTGAAAATATTGAAATCATTTGACCAACTCTTTTAGAAACTGACAATCTTTTTTTTTTATTTTACCTAAGTTCTTTTTGAAGACCGATTACAGCCGATTAGTGAATGGGGAAAATTAAAGAAAGATTGGCGTGTTTAAGAGATGTTATTGTGACTCGGTCTGAGAGGGCACTTTGGAGATTAAAACCATAAAAATTGTTCCTGTCTGTCATTTTTAGTACACTTAACCCGGAACCTTCAAAAAGTCGATATGCTGAATAAGGGAAAAAAGTACGTATTTGATGACGCACGTTTTTTCAATTCTTTTATCCCATATCTTGAAAATCGATGATTGTGACAGATAATGATGATAATAACAGCGATGATGATTATAACGATGATGATGATGATGATGAGAAATTTCATCAAACTAAATCCGAGAGCTGTTAAACTGAAGAGAAATATAATTATTGGCACAAAATTTGCTTATACATTAACATATTTACTATATAAGAAAAACACTGATGTTTTTCAAAAGAAAAGAAAAGGACATTATTTCTAGGTTCAGCCCACGTCATATGAATCCTTTTCAAAATCGGTTACGAATAGCTTCCTACGGTCGACATCCTACAGACTGAGAAGCACATTTAAGCACGATTCATCTTTCTTTTAATCTTTACGTAAGTCAATTTCTGTCTTCCGCTTAAATCAGTCTGCTTTCTTTACAGAAAAAAATGAGTGTGTGTTTCTTTTAAATTTCGCTTCTGCATTCATCATGGGCAACCCCTGAAAAAAAAATACTGAAAGAAGGCTAGCAGGAAGTTTAACTATGGTTGTTTATGAGGCTTGCCGTAATAGGAGCGGGTGTTGAACAAAAAGAGCCTCTTAAAAAGATGAAGTAGCATCTCCTACAACATTTAAAATTCCAGCCCTTGAAGAGCATTTACTGCGCGCTTTGGCTAGAGATATCATTGCTTTGTAACTTAATATTTCACAAAGCTGTCGCCATTACCATCTGTACAGAGCGAGTATAAAGGAAACCATGCTACCCTAGAACAACACAACTTCCTTCACCATCAAAATGAGAACAAGGACGCTTTCGTTGTCTTTTGCAATTCTGGTAAGTATCAAAGCTTCCGATCTGACGAAGGGCTAACGCTCGAAATGTTTGCTTAGAAACTTTTTGCAGTGGCCAATTTACATTATCAACTCATTTTGTTAACCAAATTATCGTTTTATACCCTCCACCGACACAGCACCACGGTTTCTTAAGAAACTTATCCCCTTTATTAAACTAGTAAATACACCATCAGCTTGAGTTAATCAAAGAACAGGAACCCAGAATGTGAACTAGACCAGGCGAATCACCCATAAAAATAGATGGTATCTTTCAGTGGTTTTGGAGAAATTCTGCAACCACGATCTTACTAGAGCATTTTTCATTAGCGCGGCTTGTCTCGCATATATACGGCTCTTGCTTTTTTGCTTCCTTTTTTCGGTTTGTATTTTTCATCATCTGAACATTTCTACCATAGGACAATAATCGATTAGTTGTTCAAACGATTCGCCCAACAAGACCACATGACACCTAAATCTCGTCACGTGAAACATAGTGAGTGACACTTTATATTTGACGCGTGCATTTAGCTCAACTTCCGCTTATGCTGATTTTCTTTATCAGGGATGTGGGGTGTCGAATTGTTTGCTTATGTAATCAACTTCCTCTTCTAATAACTGACTTTCACTTCCCCATCCCAAATTATTGCTAGTCAAGAAGCTGCATGTAGTAATACAACTTGTCATTCACTAAAATTGTCTAAAATGGTTTATACTACATAATTATTGGAAAATTGTCGGGTAATTTAACCAGAAACAAAAAGCAGGTCTTCTTTTCGACTTCCGTCGGTTTATCACCGTTCTTTTAATTCAGATATTTTGATTTCCATGTATTTTGGAAAAACCCGTTCGTCATCTGGTGTCAAAAAACTCTCCAAATGTTGTCACCATTTGGCCCTTGATATACACGGTACTCTACAAAATAGGTAAAAATAGAAGCTATGTTTCTTGAAAAAATTCCAAAGTTTCTCAATTGCAAACATTTCATTTCTGTTTCCTCTTCTTGGTTTATACCCACCGTTTACGTTTATCTTTTAGTTTTAATAAGATGAAACGCAGTTTTCAATTAAGTTTCTAAAATAGACTAGTTCGTTTTATGTATTCGTCTAGAATACTTCTTAATCAATCAAATTAAAACTTATGCAATCGCGTTTTTGTCGTTCGCCTCGTTTGACTCGCGCGATAGTCCTTATTAGTTCCTTGTACAGTGCACTTTCATCCTGATTGGACGACGATGTTCTTAAATTTGGTTTTGGTCAATCGGAATGTGAACCGTTTGGTTCTTTATCAAAGACAAACATGTTATGTCTTATACACTTACTTCGTAACCAAACCTTATTATACAATTTCACTGCCCAGTAATTGAGTGTCTGGGCGCTAGATTAGTAATGTTTTTTATAGAAAGCGATGGACTGTAATCATTTACTGTAACTGTACAATAAATGACTCATTTTGAGCCTTACCACAGGTGCCTTAAAGGCTCCATATAACAGTACTCTACTTTTCAGATAGCAATATTGGAGAACACATATGGCGCAGAGTGGATGAAACTCAAACAGTACTCAGGCAATGAACCAGGTGGAGATTTCCAAAGTAGTCGATTGGATTCTCCGCATGAACGCTGGCATGTTTTTGCCGACAAAATCCTGACGAAGACGAACTCACAAAGAAACGATTTAGGATCACCAAAACAGCATCCCTGCGTGAGGCATTTTTCACGAGTCTATATTGAAGGCAAATTGATCAAGGAGGCGCAATGTTACGGTCACTCCATGCTTGGATGCAGCGGCACACATCCCGTGTATCATAAGTGTGAGCCGAAGTATCAGTATTACAATGATCTGAAAAAGGTGTTTATAACCGATTGTAAGTGCAAGTCAAAACAGAAACAGAAAAAGTAGTTTTCTTTCAAAAGACTAGATTCTTCTCAAAAAACGAGGATAAGTAACTCCGATGTAACATGAAATAAAAACCACTTGTAATATGGAAGCAATACTTTTATAAGTGTCATAGCGTTTGACTTTGTACATGAACAAGGAGAAATCCTCGCTCATGTTCCTTTTTCTTCTCCTTTCCCGCGCTAGCTCTATAAAAATGCCATACGGGTAGCGATAAGGACTTGTTTTCACTATTACAAAATCGTACGCTCAGTGGTAGATAGCACTCCCCGAGTCCTTGATTCTTTGCCCACCTGTTCCACTGGACATAAGTTAAGAAGGGGGAGGGCTTTTTCTTGGGGTAGAAGAGCAAAGAACACGCCATCACAGTGAAATGGGCTGCGCAAAAAATTATTCTCCTTTGTCGGATTCTCGAATCATCCAATCAGGATGAAGGAACACTGTACGAGGAGCAGATGGGAACTTAGAGTATGGCGAAGTCTATCGCGCGAGTCAAGAAAACAATCAGCGAAAAAAAAATTGAAGTTTGTGCGCTATGTGGAACTCTACGCCTCACTCGCAGAGTTTCAAGTGGCGCGCTAACATCGATTTCTTTCGCAGTTCTTTTTTTAAATAACTTGCGCGACGGACTTTACCGAAAAGAAGGGACTGCTCGTAGTCTAATGAGGGCTCAAAATCTGAACATGTAATGAGTCTGAAGCGCGAGAAAAGGCGAACGACGAAGAAGCGATTGTATAAGTTTGAATTTGATTGATTGAGAAGTATTCTAGACGAAGACATAAAGCGAACTAGTATAATGCCGTTTTGTAGTAGTCTACTTTCAAAACTTAATTGAAAACTGCGTTTCATCTTATTAAAACTAAAAGATAAACGTAAACGGTGGGTATAAACCAAGAAGAGGAAACAGAAATGAAATGTTTGCAATTGAGAAACTTTGGAATTTTTTAAGAAACAAAGCTTCTATTTTTACCTATTTTGTAGAGTACCGTGTATATCAAGGGCCAAATGGTGACAACATTTGGAGAGTTTTTGGACACCAGATGACGAACGGGTTTTTCCAAAATAAATGGAAACCAAAATATCTGAATTAAAAGAACGGTGATAAACCGACGGAAGTCGAAAGGAAGACCTGCTTTTTGATACTGGTTAAATTACCCGACAATTTCTCAATAATTATGTGGTGTAAACCATTTTAAACAATTTTAGTAAATGACAAGTTGTATTACTACATGCAGCTTTGACTGGCGATAAATTGGGAAGTGGAAGTCAGTTGTTCGAAGAGGAAGTTGATTACATAGACAA